GTAATATTATGATTAAGGATAGATACACAAGCTAGAGGGCCTGAAAAGTGGTATTATGCAGCATTGCTTGGAATTGGATCAAATGTTCATCATGAAAATGACTTGAAAAACAAGTTTGAAACCCTAACTTCTTGCCTTCGATTCTCTTAGCTTAAGTATGATCTCAATGATTTCTTCGATATTTTGAAAAGCTTGTAATATTCTATACAACCTTTATGTTGGACATATTTGAAGAATCAATTTGGAACTAGGTGAAAAGTTGCCATGAAGTTGGTACCAAAAATCTGCCTAACTAGTGCAAAATTTCACTAAGTGTTTAAGTTTCATGAACATGTATTTATGAATTAATAACTTGAGATCCAAGCATTTCTAGAAAACTTCCTGACCTACAATGTTTTAGATCTCATTGAGATCTATAACTTTCATGTTGGAAGTTTTCCTTGAATCATCTTGCATCATGGTGAAAATTTAGCACAAAGTTATGAAAAAAGGTAAAATTTTTCCAACACTTTGAAAATTTTCTAAGTCTTGGAAATTTTGACTTTTCAAAATGAAATTTGACCTTTTGATTTCTTGATGAACAAACTTCATATTTTTGATATGTCTTGATGAAATATGATTTTTGAAACTTGATTTTGATCAAAAAGTCAAAGTTTGAATTTTCAGTGTATCAATTGACTTTTCATCAATTGACTAAATTTCAACTATCAATCAATTTATCTTTGGGGAATGTTTCAAGCCATGCCATTAGGTCAAAATGATGCATTTGAATCCTTGATGTCATGTCTCAAACCAACAAGTCACGTGTTAGGTCAAAAGTCAAAAAATGAACCTTCTCAGTTAAAACCCTAAGTTTAACCATTTTGCCCTTTTGAAGATCTAATCAAATTTCTTGAGGAATTGTGATCCAAACTTGATCAATTGCCATATATGAGTTCAAAGTGTTTATATGGATCAAAAATTATGAAGTTTGACCGTAAATTGACCACAGTTGACATTTTCCCCAATATAGTTGATTTTAGTTCAACTGGTCAATTGACTGAACAAAAATGTGATCCAAAGCTTGAATCTTGACATGAGCAATCTTGGGAGTCCAAAATGATCCATGAAAGTCATATGAATCATTAAAAGTCCAATTGTCCTTATACAAACTCAAACTCTAATTTTTAGTCATCAGTGCTTAAGAAGGTGTCTTGGGCTGATCAAACCTTGTGCAGTCTTGAATCAATGGAGATCTTGTGAGAGAATTCTTGAGAAATTGAGAGGGTAAATTTTGGGGTACAACAACTTGCAACTGCAAATACTGTGAATACAACTTGATTACAAAAAAAAAGGGTTTCTCTCACTATTTATAGATTTAAGTTAGCTTGCTCTCTAAGCCAAAACCCAAAACTAGAAAAGCCCAAAATACATATTTTGGAACTAAATCAAATCTATATATTTTAGACCTAAATAAAATCTATCTATTTTAGATCTAAATTAAATATGTGTGTAATAAAATGCTTCCACACTTCGACACAATCTTTTCGACACTTCCTTGTTTTCTATCGAGCAAGCTGCTTCTACACAAGAAAATATACTTTCAACACACCACCTAATTCATTATGTATAAGCTTTATATATTAATCATAACTCTTAGTCTTCTGAACACTTCGACCTGAACTCCCTTCGTCATGATGTCTGCAATCTAATTCTTAGTTTTGCAGTGTTCCAAGTTCATCTTCCCATCTACTATCTGCTCTCGAAGATAGTGGAACCTCATTTTGATGTGCTTGCTTCGACCATGTGCTATCAGATTCTCCTCCATAGTGATAGCTAATATGCTATCGATCTTCATGGTAATTGCTCCATGATCTTTACCTGTAATCTCTTCGAACAAGTTCACCATCCATGTTGCTTGACATACACAAAGAGAAGCAGCTATGTACTCTGGTTTATACGATGATAATGCCACTACTGGTTCTTTTCTCGAACTCCAAGAAACGGGTGCACCACCTAGCATGAACACATATCCTATTATAGATTTTTTATCCTTAGCATCACTACACCAACTCGAATTAGTGTATCCTACTAACTTGCACTTTTTTCCTTTATCAGTTGTAGTAAACAAAATGCCATAGTCGAGAGTTCCTTTCAAATACCTCAATATCCTCTTCGTCACTTCTAGTTGTGATACCTTTAGCTTCTGTATGAATCTAATTACCATACCTACATTGTATGCTAAGTCAGGCCTTGTGTGATAAGGGTATCTTAATGACTCAATAAGTCTTCTGTATTGGGTTGGGTCGATATCATCTTCTTCTGAATCTTCCGACAGTTACAACCTTAGTTCAGTAGGTATCGATGTCAAGTTGCATTATTTCATCTCAAATATCTTGAGAATTTCACTTGCATATCTTCTTTGATGCATCATAAAAACTATATTGCTCTTGTAGAATTTGATTCCAAGCAAATATAAAATGTCACCTAGATCTGAAATTTTGAATTCCTTGCTGAGATCACCTTTGAAGCCTTCGATCTCACTTTTGCAGATACCTGTTATCAACAAAGCATCCATATAGAGACATAGTATAAGCAACTCACTATTGTTTCTTCTTACATATACTCCATGTTCAGTTGTGCACTTCATAAATTCTTTCTCCCTTAGGAAACTATCTATCTTCTTATATCAAGCTCTTGGAGCTTATTTTAACTCATACAGGGTTTTATGCATCATGTACACCTTTCTCTCTTCTCCATGCTTCAAAAACCCAACTCGTTGTACTAGATAAAATTCTTCGTCTAAGGGTCCATTCAAAAATGCACACTTCACATTCATCTGACATATGTGCCAACTGTTCATTTCTGCTATACCAAAAACCAACCACATTGTTTTGATTCTAGAAACAGGTGCAAAAACATCATCGAAGTCAATTCCTTCCTTGTGAAGAAATCCTTTCGCCACAAGTCTTGCTTTATGTCGAGTTACTTCCCCTTTTGGATTCATCTTCACCTTGTATATTCACTTAAGATCGATTGCCTTCTCGCTTTGAGGCAATTCGATAAGTGACCAAGTGTTGTTGTCTTAATGGACTTTAGTTATTCATTCATTGCTTTCACCCACTTCGAATCCTTCAATGCTTCAGTTGCATTTACAGGTTCGACATCTGCATAGAAAGCATAATGTACCAGCTCACCTTCATTATCGACCATATCATCTGATGTAATCAAACAATCTTGCAACCTTGTAGGCATGTGTCTTGTTCTCTGAGGTCTGCTTGTAATTGGTTGATCTCTCACTTGCTCTTGTCTAACTTCCTCTTGTCGAACTTCTCATTTGACTTGAGTTCTGGTTCTTCAAGTAAGATTATCACCGAATCTTTCTTGACATTTTGAGTCCAATCCCATTCTTTAAGCGCATCTGTGATCACGTCCCTGGTGATCATAGTCTGCTTGTTCACTAGGTCGAACAATTTGTAACCTCCTGTCGAATGATATCCTACTAGGATCATTTGACTCGACTTGTCATCAAGTTTTCTTCTTAGCTAATCTGGCACATGTCTATGTGCAATAGATCCAAATACCTTCAGATGACTCAAGCTAGGCTTCACACCAGACCAACATTCTTCTAGAGTAATTCCTTTTAGCTTCTTTGTTAAACGTTGTCGCATGTGTATACAAAAATGTAGTGGTAAAAATTTGAGACTTAGCCATTAATTGACTTCACTCATATTAGTGAAAGTCGCCACCGTACTTTATTATTTACGTAGGGAAAATGGGAAAAGAGCGAATAAAACCCAAAATAAATAAAAAATAGAGATCAAGATATGGGGGTCGGTTATGCAAAAGGAACGTATTAGCACCCTAAGTATCTACGGTACTCCGCAAGATCCACTTTGTTTGTCTGATGAGTGTGTTATCTAAAGGATTACTTACTAAAGGACATTAATGAAAGAGTTATTAAATAAACAAAAAGAAATGTTTTTTATTATTGTGTCCTCCGCAGTTGTGAACCTTTGTGCCTACGTACCTCCTTCGTGCAATAAGGGATCAGGGCACTCGTAGTTCTTATAGAAAAGAAAAAAACTTGGTTAGTTGATTGTTTTTAAATGAAGAGGCAAGTCTTCATTTTTAGGAGAGAAATCTCAACTAATTGTCGATAAGGTGTGAGAAAGATGGACCGTACGTCAACATGAGGAGGATTTGGAAACGCCTCTGGCACTTAAGTGAAAAAGTCGACACCTTTATAACCACGGGGATAGGAGGATGATATCTTGACTATAAATGAATCATGTCTAATCTTGAAAAATGTTTTAAAGGGAAAAGGTGATCGAGCATACAAAAAGGTTTGAATAAGGTTGAATGTTTTTATTGGGATAAATAGAAAATGGATCCCATTGGAGGGACACTTACTACTTCTCCACTTATTTGTGAAAGGGTTTGCGAATTGAATCATAATAAAATCCAAAAATGGAAGAAAGGACAAGGTCCAGTTTGTAACGCCTCATCCTACCCCAAAAGGCTCAACTGCGTATTATTCGTGTCTTTATTTATTAAGTGTTTTGAGTTTCTGATTTAGAAAAAGAAGTTTGAAAAGAGATTCGCTTGAAAAAGTCAAGGTTTATTATGAAAGCAGTTAAAGTTTATAAAACAAAGAAAGTTTTGAAAAAGATGAGAAGGTTTTGAAAAATGAAGAATGAGAAGGAGATGAAGAGAGTGTCATATGTACAAGAGGGTAAATGATAAAGGTAAAGAAGATCTGACCGAACTAGAAATAGGTACCTGACATAATAAAATCAATACAACATTCCCATCTCTTTGGATTCAAGCCCACAAGCAGATAAGCAAAGCGAAGAGTATACTAAACCTCAGGTGAAAATAAATCACAATCAGACAGCATCAAAGAAACCCAGGGCATCTGATAAAACTCAAAACAACGAATAAAGCGCATCAGGTGAAATAAATCACAATCTGGGAAAATACACCAAGTAAGCTCAAGGCATTGGATAAAGCGTAGAGCATCAGATGAATATCGAATAGAAATCCCTGCATCAGATTGAAATCCATACAAACAAGATAACAAAGAAATAGTCTGCACATCTCATGTGAATAAGAAATTAAGTCCGAGCAGACTAAAAACATGTATCAAAGCTAAAATGAAACAAATGAAATATTGAAATGGATGCTTAATTAATTAACTCAAAAGTTGATTAAGTTAATTAATTAAGTTAATAAAAATTAATTAGCTGAAACTAATTAATCTTTAATAACCAAATTAAATAACTAAATCGACTTTTAGTTAATTAATCAAAAGCAACAAAGTAACATGAAATGAAAGTTTAATTGATTAATCAAGAGTTGATTAACTTAATTAATCGAGTTAAGAAAAATAGATTAGTATATTAATCCATTTTTAATAACAAAATCAAGTAAATAAATCAAAACTTGATTAATCAATCAAAAGCGGATAAAATATGGGAAGAGGAAGTATTGTTTTGATAACTTGCACAAATCAACAAACAAGTTAGTAATCACAAGGTATAAAATAGAAATGAAACTTGCATGAATGTAACATGAACAAATAAATATTTTTCAACTAAGAACCAAGAAATCAAATTATTACCCATGTTCATATAAAAATCAGCATTGCATTTCAATCATATTCAATTAAATGAACTCGAGAATAAACATGATTTTCAAACCATAAGTACAACAAGAAGTAAAAATTCATATTACAACAAGAAAAACCGAGAAAACCAAATTCAAAATAAGTGATTTTCCTCTAAACCGCAACCCGGAAAGCAACTATATGAACTATTGTCGCACAATGAAAGCCCTCAAACATGCCTTACTCAAACACACTGATCCCGGGCAGCAACCACAACAACAAAGTGATGCTCAATAACTTTAACTTAAGCATGCTCAAAATAAAATGAGAATAAAAACAATGCCACAAAACAAGTTAATTTTTCGAATTCAAATCGAATTAAACAACAACGCCATTTAACGATGCTTTCAGATTGAATAAATCACATGACATAACATAAACATCAATTAAAGAATCAAACCAATCGAGTTGCCATCACAAATTCATATTGGTTTCAAAACATGGCATTGATTCCAAACAAATTCAAAACAAAGTAACAATTCAACATGACATACAAGCTTCATTCAGAACCAATTCAAATGACCAAAAGATTCAAAACTCAAACAAATCCAACACAAGCAAGAATGAGACATACTTTTTCATACAAGTTCAAAACAACTGTAAAAACATGTTGGCTGCCCCAATAGTTTCTCAGTTAGTTTCTATGCGAATAAACGCGGGAACAACATCACCTTCATTAAAACTAATACAATTATCATTCATCACAACTTCAATCGAAATTAACGAGAACAAATTAACATGGTATAGATTTGAAATGACTTCAAACAAAACATGATAACAATTTCAATATACACAAACGAAAATGACAACTGACACGATAATTCTGAGATACTCCGACACTCAAAATGACACTGACATTAGAATTCAATCATAAATTAATGCAATTTTAAACTTAAACAAGCGAAATTAATTTACATTACAAACTACTATTCTTTTCAACAAAATTTATAACAGCCATAACAGTTTAACTCAAAAGAGAACATTCTCCGACTATTTTTTCACATAATTATGGCATCATAATAGTTCCAACAAGTAAAACCTTCAAAACATGATAAAATACAAATTTTAAGAAAGAAGATGAACCTGGAAGTTCCTAAAAAAGAGAGGCTCTCGAGATCGAAAGTTGCTTCTTCTTCGAATTTTCTGAATGGACTAAAACAAAATTGATTGAAGGAGCGTGTCTTTGAATGTTCTTGGACGGTGGAAATCGAAATCGAAACAGTAGAGAGCTTGAACTGAGCAGTTTCTTCTTTGACTGAGTGAAAAGTTGATGTTGATGTCGCAGTCATGGCAAAATCATTGAAATGGCTATCAATGATGATGGTGTGGATTTGTTTTTATTTGTGAGAAGTGGTGTTGTGTGACGGAGGTTAAAACGGCATGGAGTTGAGAACGATCAGAAGGTGACAGTGATGAGGTTGTGGAGGAGAGCGGTATGTTGGGTGGTGATATCGGAAGATTGCAGTAGTGGGTTTGAAGGGTGTGCGGCAGTGAGAATGGTAAGCGGGAGTGAGGAAGAGATGGTGTTGATTCTTGGTGGTGAAGAAGAGAAATAGGGATGTCTTCTGGTGAGTATATGTGGAAGATGGAGGAGTTGAATAGAAGGAAAGTGGTGGTCTGGAGGAATAAGATGATGTGAAGAGAATCAGATGATGAATGGAGAGGAAGGAGATAAAAAACTTATCCAAACACCCTTAGGTATTGTCTAATTGACCAAACAACCCTTCATGAAGAAATTGCATGTGATTAAAAATTAATTTGATAATATGAATGCGAATGAGAAAAACTCAGGATAAAATTTAGGGTACAATTGCTGCTCCTATTTAAATATCTTCAACTAGATGATATGAAGATGACTAGGCTTCATATATTCGTAGTGGGGGATAATTAAATATTTAAAAAAATAAAACTTTTTTCTGAGAATGCAATGGGCATGAGGTGAATGACATGTGACGAGAATGTGATGAATGCACGACTCTTTATATATATATATATATATATATATATATATATATATATATATATATATATATATATATATATATATATATATATATATATATATATATATATATATATATATATTGGATGATGTATGATACGAGACAGAATTTGTGGGAATTACTGGAAAGACTCGAAAATGAAATTTATGGTAGTCAAGACAAGATGACATGGAAAGAAACGTTGGAGAGATACAAGATATTTCTGGAGATCTGTCGAGGTGACAAGGAGTAACAAGTAATACTTGAGAAGAGAGATATAAAATCCTGGAAAGACAGGAGACATCTGGAGTAGCATCAGATACAAAAGGTAATCACACTCTGGAAAATACATTAGACACATCTAGAAAAGTATTAGATACGGAATGAGACCAGATATGAGGGTACATCAGAGACAGACATGAAAATTTTGAACTTTATTGGGGATAAAACATCGAAGACATTCAAAAAAGCATTGAATGAACACCATTGGGGAAAACATCAGAGATATTCAGAAGAGCGTTGAATGATCTTTGGAAGAACATCAAGCACACTCAGAAAAACATTGAACATACACGAGACGAATCATCGGAGACATTCAAAAGAGTAGTGAATGAATTCTGGAATACAACAAAGGCGGATCATCAAAGACATTTAGAAGAACATTGAATGAACTTTAGAAAAAGAATCAGGCACATCCAGAAAAAACATTAAATGGACGAGAAGCAGATCATCAGAGACATTCAGAAGAACATTGAATGAAACTCTGGAAAACATCATCACCGACATTCAGAAGAGCATTCAATGAACTTCAAAAATCACATCCAGAAAAACATTGGATGGAAAGGAATCCACACTCTGAGGAAACGTCTGAAACATCTAGAACAACATTAGATGGAAGGAAACCAAAGAGACATTCATAAAAGCATTGAATGCAAGAGGAGTTCCAAACCCAAGAAATATGGCAGAGACATCCAGAAAAACATTGGATGAAGTGGAAGCCTAATTTGAAAAATCTGAGTAGCCATCTAGAACACCATTGGGTGGAAAGGAAAACAAACCTATGAATATCCAGGAAAACATTGAATGAAAGGAAAGTTATCCAAACTCAAAGATACATCTGAAACATCCAGGAAAGCGTTGAATATAAGGAAACAAGTTTTAGAAAAGTATTAGAACAAACAGGATACATTCAGAAAAACATCATGTAAACACAACCAAATCTGGAATAACATCAGATAGACAAAGTAGAGTTCTGGAAAAATGTCAGAACAACAGACATATCCGGAAGCACATCAGAGAGAAAAGATAAGATTCTGGAAGAACATCATAACGGAAGACATATCTGGAAGAACATCGACTAGAAAAGGTAAGATTCTGGGAGAACACCAGAACAAAAGGAATATCCGGAAAGATCTCAGATAAGCATACACAAATGAAACACAAGGGAGATAAAATTTGTTTTGGTAGGTGCCAATTAAGTTGGACTTTGATCACAAGGTAAAATGTTTATAGAAACAAGACTTCGAGAGATATAATTGAGGATGAAACACTCTTCAAGCTATGCATGATATATGAATTTTATTATGCATGATATATGAATTTTATTATGCATGATATATGAGTCTTACTAAACATGTATTATAGATGTGTATGACAATGGAGCTTGACTCTTTTGCTGAAGTAAGATTGGAACTTTGATTCCTTACTGAAAAATGAGTTATGGAGCAAGTTTGGCAGGGTGATTCTGGTTGTTCAAGCTTGAGGAAATTAATTAGGGATGACCCTCTATTTATAAGGAATCAAATGGAATGTTCAAGCGTGTGAAATGATGAAGTTTGGAGGGAAATCGTGTGAACCTGATACACGAGTAAGGTGTGATCTGTTTTGCATCAAAACTCGTCCAATCCTTTAGTTTTAAAGCTCTAATCCACTTTGGCAAGTTGGTTAAACATGTTTAGATCACAAACGCTTGCTAATTTGATGTTTAGAAACCAAAACATGAATTTCAAATTCTGACTTATGAAGAAACTTCAGTTTCAAGTAACCAAGTTCAACTCAATGGCATTCCCAGCTCAAGGGGTCTTAGGTCATGATTCTTGATGCTTTAGAAAGATGAGGTTACAAGCATTTCAATGGGAAAAGAATGGAATCAAATGGATGTTTGAGCTGAAAGTTACAATGAGTCAAAGTTGGAAAAAAGAAGTTGACTTTCCATACTTAGAAATATTTCAAGTTTTTCTTCAAAAGTGACCTATAATGTTTTGCATCCAAACATGGCCTTCCACTTGGAATATTCTCTTGACCAAAAAAGATGGAATGGAATAGACCTCTTGAATGAGATTTTGAGACTTGAACCATTCAAAATATCCAAAAATTGAGAGAGTTATGAATTGTTGAAGTTGGAAAAAATCATGAAATGGCCTATAATCGTTTATATCCTTAGGGCATCTTCAATTCATTTTCCCACTTTGCACATAAAAGAAGGAATAAAGTTCACATCCTCAAGATAATTGTGGAAAAATAGTGGGCTCAAGATGATAAAAATTGACCAAGTTATGATCATTTGAAGTCGTACATGAGAAATTGCGGGTTCATCTGGAGGACTTGTAATCTTTCTTCATCATCAAGTTTCTTCCATATGAAAACTACTTGAAACTTTTGAAGTGATTTGTTAATAAACCTTTGAAGAGAAGGATGTTTTTGGAATAACTCAAAAATACCAAAAGATGAGCAAGATATACTTCTTTGAAGTCCAAAACCCTAGCTCCTAGATCAAGAAAATGCTTTGAGGAACTTTAACATTTTTGAACAACCTTCTTGTACCAACACTCTTGCTTTGTAGATAGAAGTTGTTGAGGATGATAATGAGAACTCATAGCAACCAAAACCACTTCCATATCTTTAGAATTGAGAGAAATATGCACTTGTGACCAATGGGAACAAGACCTTGTCCAACCATGACAACTTCTTCAATCAACCCCTTGTATTTTTGAATCAATCTTGATAACTTTGAATCAAGGTGCTTGGTGATTCCTCAAAGAGAAAGACTAGAGATATGGAGGAGATCCAAAAGCCCTAATTTGATCTTGTTGTGATTGAATCAATATGGCATGATGAAGGGATCTTAGGGGCGAAAATTGGGGTACAACAGCTTCCCGTATTTAAGTTTTTTCTATACGGATATACGAAGGTTAAAAATCTTCATGTCGTCGCGATCGAAGATACTTAAATATAAAACAAACCCTATTTTTTGCCCTAATATGCCATGCAATGCTTATGAATATGAATGCATATGAACAACTTCAAAGGGATGCAAAACACCACTGGGAATGTAGAAAAGGAAATAAGGATCAAAAGAGAAACCCAACCAGGAAAATAAATCACTGGTGAATCAAAAGACCCGACTCAAAAAGGATGGTAAAAAGTCAAAGGATACACCAACTTTTACTGAAGGAGAAACTACCAACGCTCACTAAAGTTAGAAAGAGAAAAGAAATAACAACACCGACGTTCACTGACGGTGAGCTACCAACGTTTACTGAAGGTAGAGAGAAAGAATCATCGACATTCACTAACAATGAATTACCAACTTTTACTGAAGGTAGAGGAAAAAGATATATCATAACATTGTCGTTCAGTGACAGTGAACTACCAACGTTCACTGAGGGTAGAAAAAAGATGACAATCACCAACTTTCACTGATGGTGACCTACCGACTTTCACTGAAGGTAGAGAGAGAAAATATATCATAATACCGCCGTTCACTGACGATGAACTACCAACATTCACTGAGGGTAGCAAAAAGATAACAATCACCAACTTTCACTGATGGTGACCTATCAACTTTCACTGAAGGTAAAGAGAAAATATATCATAGCACCGATGTCCACTGACGGTGAACTAGCAACGTTCACTGAGGGTAGCAAAAAGATAACAATCACCAACTTTCACTGATGGTGACCTACCAACTTTTACTGAAGGTAGAGAGAAAATATATCATAACACTGCCGTTCACTGACAGTGAACTACCAACGTTCATTGAGGGTAGCAAAAAGATGACAATCACCAACTTTGACTGATGGTGACCTACCAACTTTCACTGAAGGTAGAGAGAAAAATATATCATAACATCGCATTTCACTGATGATGAACTACCAACGTTCACTGAGGGTAGCAAAAAGATAACAATCACCAACTTTCACTAACGGTGACCTACCAACTTTCACTGAAGGTAGAGAGAAAAATATATCATAACATCTCTGTTCACTGATGATGAACTACCAACATTCACTGAGGGTATAAAAAAGATAACAATCACCAACTTTCACTGATGGTGACCTACCAACTTTCACTGAAGGTAGAGAGAAAATATATCATAGCACCTTCGTTCACTGACGATGAACTACCAACGTTCACTGAGGGTAGCAAAAAGATAACAATCACCAAATTTCACTATGGTGATCTACCAACTTTCACTGAAGGTAGAGAGAAAATATATCATAGCATCGCCGTTCACTGACGATGAACTACCAACATTCACTGAGGGTAGAAAAAAGATAACAATCACCAACTTTCACTGATGGTGATCTACCAACTTTCACTGAAGGTAGAAAGGAAAGAAATATCATAGCACCACCGTTCATTAACAATGAACTACCAATGTTCACT